CACAATTTGGATTATCTACTTATATAATTGCCTTATTCTTTCTGTGTGAAGTTCACTGTGTCAAGTTCACGAATAGATTTTGGTCAGAATGGATAAAATAAAAAAAGTGTCAAGGGATGGGAATCGAACCCACGACGTTCCTCTTACCGGGCAGATGCCATGACCACTAGGCTACCCTGGACATATTTTTCCGTTCACATTTTTATTTTTATATTTTCAAGACAAACACAGTTTGGGGCGGGACGTTCCACAAAAGAGACATCCACGGCGCCAATTTATAATTGTAATGAATAGTATTTTAATTAAAACATTTTAAAAATATATACGCACTCGGGTAAAACCCGGGCGTTGCCCGGGCCATTCGTCTAGTCAACATATATAGTCACGACCGTCTTTCCACCGTCAATCATGTCACGGATGCGCGCGCATCATCATTATGATCATTATCATTATCTAATGATAATAATAATAATTATTATTATTATTATATTATTATATTATTATTATTTATCAACATATCAACATATATAGTCACGACCGTCTTTCCACCGTCAATCATGTCACGGATGCGCGCGCATCATCATTATGATCATTATCATTATCTAATGATAATAATAATAATTATTATTATTTAATTATTATTATTATTTATAATCAACATATATAGTCACGACCGTCTTTCCACCGTCAATCATGTCACGGATGCGCGCGCATCATCATTATGATCATTATCTTCTATAGAAGCTTCTATCTTTATAATTATGTATATTTACAAAAAGTCAATTCGCTCGCGCCTCTAGCGGTGAAAATGAGGGGTAATACCAGCTGACCTAATGTACATGTAAAGTTTGGAGCGGGACATTTCACAAGAGTGACATCCACGGCTCCAATTTATAATTGTAACAAATAGTATTGGAATAAAAAAATTCAATCGGGTTAAACACGGGCGTTGCCCGGGTCATTCGTCTAGTCAACATATATAGTCACGACCGTCTTTCCTCAATCAATTCCTCATTCCTCATGTCACGGATGCGCGCGCATCATCATTATGATCATTATCATTATCTAATGATAATAATAATAATTATTATTATTATATTATTATTATTATTTTATTATTATTATCAACATATATAGTCACGACCGTCTTTCCTCAACAATTCCTCATCTCTGTCACGGATGCGCGCGCATTAATCATTATGATCATTATCTTCTATAGAAGCTTCTATCTTTATAATTATGTATATTTACAAAAAGTCAATTCGCTCGCGCCTCTAGCGGTGAAAATGAGGGGTAATACCAGCTGACCTAATGTACATGTAAAGTTTGGAGCGCGACGTTTCACAAGAGTGACATTCACGGCTCCAATTTATAATTGTAACAAATAGTATTGGAATAAAAACATTCAATCGGGTAAAACACGGGCGTTGCCCGGGTCATTCGTCTAGTTATATATATTTATAACTAGCGGACCCGCCCGGCTTCGCCCGGGTTTTACCCGAGTAAAAGTTTGTCTAACGAATCTCTCGATAAAGTGAACATTTTTTTCCCGGTCCCTTGAAAAATACTCGATAAGTTGAATAAAATCAATATTAATTGGTTCCCTCGGTAATTGGAAGTTAAAGGAATAGTATCTTGCCTTGGAATTGTATCATTATTCTTGTATGGATGTACCCGGCTTCGCCCGGGTTTTACCCGAGTAAAGGTTTGTTTAACGAATATCTCGATAAAGTGAACATTTTTTCCCGGTCCCTTGAAAAATACTCGATAAGTTGAATAAAATCAATATTAATTGGTTCCCTCGGTAATTGGAAGTTAAAGGAATAGTATCTTGCCTTGGAATTGTATCATTATTCTTGTCTCAAATAAATTGCCGTGTCATCCTGAATTTTGTCTTTCCTAATTTTCTACATTACAAAATCATCGTATCATCATGATAATATTTAGAGCAGATTGTTGAATTATAACAGATAAATTAGAATAATTATCTTGATTATTTCTAGGCGAAAAGTTATTTCAAAAATTTTATTTGCTAGAAACCTTCCCAGTACTATACTAAATAACTTCCCAAAGTTTCATGGCGATCCAATGAGTGGTTTGGTCAGGCATAAAGGACAAACAAACAGACATACATTCATTTTTATATATATAGATATTAACAGTAATTAAACGTAACAGTAAGAAAATGTTGATTTTAAAATATTTTAATTTTAAAATATTTTAATTTTTTCATATTTTAAATATGTAAATAGAGTTTCTTAAGAAAGACCACCTAAAAACATGAATCAACTTGTTTCTCCTGTTGGTGGTCTCTCATTGAAGATTCTAATTGCTATTAAAGAATCTCTAATAGACCTTTAATAAGAGACTGCCTCTTGGAGAGACGGTGTAGCTACGAAATGGATATTCCCGGCTTCGCCCGGATTTTACCCGAGTAAAGGTTTGTCTAACGAACCACTCGATAAAGTGAACATTTTTTCCCGGTCCCTTGAAAAATACTCGATAAGTTGAATAAAATCATTATTAATTGGTTCCCTCCGTAATTGGAAGTTAAAGGAATAGTATCTTGCCTTGGAATTGTATCATTATTCTTGTCTCAAATAAATTGCCGTGTCATCCTGAATTTTGTCTTTCTTAATTTTCTACATTACAAAATCATCGTATCATCATGATAATATTTAGAGCAGATTGTTGAATTATAACAGATAAATTAGAATATTTATCTTGATTATATCTAGGCGAAAAGTTATTTCAAAAATTTTATTTGCTAGAAACCTTCCCAGTACTATACTAAATAACTTCCCAAAGTTTCGTGGCGATCCAATGAGTGGTTTGGTCAGGCATAAAGGACAAACAGACATACATTCATTTTTATATATATAGAAGATTAATAATATATAATTGATATATAATGTTTAATGGGTACATCAACAAGGTTCTTTCCGCGGCCATGCCTTGTTCCAAAATCACTTTATTAGGTACCGCTCAAAAAGAGCAACCTAGTGTATGATATTTACAACAATGAACAATATGTGAAGGTTATTTGCATATTAAAACAAAGTGTACAATACGGGATTCTATCCCGGTTCATGACTGTCGGGAATCGAGGGTGTTACCCACTCGTCCACCGACTCTTTCTTTCTGAGGAACATTCACTAGAGCAACATATAAAAATAAGAAATATTAAAAGGGAACCATCGCTCTTTTACATTAAAACTTCTGATCAAAATGTTATGAGTTTAACAAGTAGGTGTATAGATGAAGTTACAGCTTAAAATTTTGAAGGCTATTAAAATTCTAATAGAATTAAACCAATAGCATATGTTAAAGTAATATTCGTCTGGCAAATATTGTCATAGAATAATCTGTGAGTTTCTTGAGATTCCGGGATAATTGGCCTATCAAATAAGGTCTTCTAGCCCCAACATGGCTGCAGAACGCGAACTGGTGGCAAGGCATCCTAAGATCTGGCAGTGGAGGTGTCATCGCAGGGGTGGAGGAAGCTGGAGAGGTCAGGGAAACAGCGCCTTGATGCAGTGAGAAGCAGGGATGGAGTCCAGTTGAGGAGGCAGGAGGTCCTGGAAGCCAAGAACTTGAGGGCTCTAGACTTCAAGATGGGCAGCTTGAGGCTCTCGCCTCGTGCTTTCTGGGAGGCCCTTGGCACAGCAGTTGGTACACTTGGAAGTGCGCTGGTTGGCAATGGAGGGGCAGGCGCGGCCTTCATGGCCGTCTTCACCCCAGTGGAAGCACTTAGGAGCTTTCGTGCATTGGGCAGAGTTGTGGCCGAAGCCACAACAGCGGAAGCAGACTCGGGTGCGGATGGGCTCCTCGAAGTTTGGGATTACTCCATCCACCACGATCCATCCGTGAATGCCCAGGGCTCTGAAGGTCTTGATGTCCACCTCGATGAAGGCGGTTAAGGTCCCGTTTCTGGGTGCAGAACGGTGCGCCACGCGCACCACCTTGTCCCCAGTAAGTTGTTTGACTGCAGGGGTTTCCAGGAGCGTCTCCTCAATGGTGGAGTTGGATGTCTCCTCATCCACTTTGAAGAGGCAGATGCGAGGCAGGATCTTCTTCTGTTAGCGGACCTTCATACCATCCAGCTTGTTGGCCAGGGAGGTGGTAACAGCTGGGATGGTATCGGGGTTGCTGGAGTGGAGGACAAGCTTCCCCTTGGTGCGCAGGGAAGCCCAGACGCCTTGGGGGAGAGTGTGGGCAGCGCGGACAGCTTTTAGCATCTCCCTGGGGTCGGCCTGCGGGTTATCAGAAATAACCCCTGTGTGGGCCGCCGATTTCTCTCAGTGGAGGGTCATTCGGGCGGCCGCCGGCTTGGAAGCGCGGGAGGGCACAGGTTTGGCAGGACCTTGCAGGTTTGTTCTCTTTGTAGGTGGGTTGGGAGTCTCAGGCTGCTTCCTCTTTGTAGGGGCAGGCAGCGTGGGGGCAGGCTTTTTAGTTGGGAGAGAAGCAGGAACAGGGGTGGCGGGCTTGACTGGGTCAGTCTGGCAGCAGGAGTCCTTGCAGGAAGGAGCTGGGCTGGTTTGGGTTCTGTGACAGGCAGTTGGATGCTTGTTTTCTTCCATGAAGTCGTCCAGCTCCGCAAAGGCATTGAGCGTGCCAGAAAGGTTCTCCACTTAAGCGCAAAGAGTCCTGATCAGACCAGTCCTCCCCGCGATGAACTTGATCATGTCTTAGTGCAGGCACTTGAGGGCGGGATGGACAACGGCGCGCAGGATTTGGAGGTTGCGGGAGATCACCATTTCGTCCACCTTATCCAGGGCGGCGATGTCCACGATGGGTTTCTGGGCATTCTTCTTCTTCTTCTTCTTCTTAGCAGGATTCATGGCAAGAGCAGGAAAGCAAAGATGTGATCAGGTAGAGAGCTAGCTGGCAACTCGAAAAAAGCCGGATTAATCTGTGATTACATACTCAGCTTATCATCTTTAGTCACGTGACATCAACATTTTTTGTAAATATTTTGTTTAGATATCTCTCTGTTCTTTTCCTCGGTAGTATAGTGGCTGGTATTCCCACCTGTCACGCGGGCGACCGGTGTTCGAATCCCCGCCAGGGAGTTTTTTTTCGCTAGTCTCCCCAGTCTGGTCATAGTGCTTTGCATATATTCCACTTTACGCGGCCATTGGGGCTTAAAATGATTTTATTTTGATTAGCAGCCCCGTAAATAAAGATATTTCCGTTCCTCTCTGTTTTTTTAAGATTAAAAATAATTGTAAATAGTTTCCTTATTGATATTAAATTTGTTTTATGATTACTCTATGTTCTGGTCTCACTTATAATGTTAATGTAGCACAATCAAATATATTGACATGAAGCCAACCACCCAGGACAATGCAACAATATACATTCGGGAATAAGCCGGGAAAAGCTAAGTTATTGAGTATCATTATACAAAAATTATCTCATCATTTTATAATTCCTAAATATGATAAATGATTTGTTTATCATATAATTTTAGTCTTTTTGATTAGCTTATATGTTGATCTATATATTCAGCTATCAACATGAAACATTTTACATTGGTTTATTCAGTAGTTTTGTGTGCCAAATTATCTGACAAACAACATAAGCAGTTTTAGTCTTCTCAGTTATGCGGAAAGAATATTGTTTATTTGTTAAGTAAACTGATCTCCTTCTCATTGGACGAATGTGGCCATGTTTGTACATAAAAGAGGGTTGAAACGGGATGCGAGGAGTCGTGATCGAGTGGAGACGCTTAAAGCGTTCTCTGTGTGCTTGTCTGGTGATTCTCCTCGCATACCTGTGAAACCCCGGTCCGCTCCTTATCAACGCTGCAAATAAAGATAAATATTGTTCCTTTTGGGACGTACCATGTTAAGTCACCAATCATTATGCATTCCAAGCAATTCTTAATATCTGTTGCGAATCTCTGAAGTTGTTTCTCGCTGAACTATTTTTACTGGCTTGTTGTACGGACGTGACAGGTCGTCCTAGGTGTCTGCCAAGACAACAGTTCGTATTGAGTCATATACGGTAATTTGGTGAACCTCCGGATGGATGGTTTCTTACAGTATCTCCTTCTCAATGGTGAATAGTATCGTTTGGCCGAATCAAACCATTCTGTACAATGTACCTTCCTATCATCATATAGGGTTTCTAGACTGGTGAACTGAGATGTTGGTTCTCTCAGCAACTAGGAATCGAATATTTGGACGATGTTTGATTTCTAGAGTTTAACTGCACTCAGCACGTCTCTCTCTCGTGTAATGGATTTAGCCCATAGTGTTGTGGAAAATGTAATCACTTGTTACTTACTTACTGTTACTTTATTTTTATATCAGAATTATTATTGTTGTTTTTTAATAAACTCCCTCTTTTCGACATCTAGCCCCTTTTACATTCTCAATACATACTTACATCAGGCTCTCAATACACATACAAGTTCACAATTACACACCACTATACCACTCACAATACACACCACTTCACCGCTCACAACTTCTACTTAAAAATTATCATAGAGTTCTATTTTTTATTTAAAATTTGGGGAAGCCATTTTACCTCTGGCGATCTGATCAACCCCTGATGTCATGAGTCCTGCCAAGACAACCAACATTAGATATGCCTAAGACCAATTGCCAGCTCAGCTAAAATATGACCCATAGTCAAATCGTCATCGCTAAACCATGGCCTAGGTGGCATACCTATGGCCAGATGTCGTGACAGAACAAGTTTTCGCCAGGAGGTGTCAGACCCGAGGTTCATAGAGGCTTCGCCGGCGGGCTCTGGGCCGGCAATGGCAACAATCGGTCGTTTCTAGGAACTCTATAGACTCTATAATTCTCTATCGAAGGATGAAGAAATCCGTGTCAGATACATTAATTATGAAGGCTTATCTTGGATCAAACTTATTTATTGATATTTTCCAGTATTTCGACGTTGTTGCCTCTGCTAGGAACATCCGCTACAAACACTTGGAATTCTACCCACAGCTGACCACCTCAGGTTATTGGGAGGATAAATTGCTTTGACTCAAGATCTCTTCCTCTAAATGATATATATATATATATAAGAATGTTAAAATGGATAAAGTGTAATGGAACACTATTTAGAATGATTAAAATTGTTAATAAAATGCCAGTTTAGCGCAAGCTGAAGCTGAACTATTGAATTACGATTTTTATTATAATTATATATTTTATATATTTATAATGAATGATGTATATAATGTTTAATGGGTACATCAACAAGGTTCTTTCCGCGGCCATGCCTTGTTCCAAAATCACTTTATTAGGTACCGCTCAACAAGAGCAACCTAGTTTATGATAATTACAACAATGAATAATAAGTGAAGGTTATTCACATATTAAAACTAAGTGTCCAATGCGGGATTCGATCCCGGTTCATGGCTGTCGGGAATCGAGGGTTTTACCCACTCGTCCACCGACTCTTTCTTTCCGAGGAACATTCACTCGAGCAACATATAAAAATAAGAAAGATTAAAAGGGAACCATCACTCTTTTACATCAAAACTTTTAAACAAAATGTTATGAGTTTAACAAGTGGGTGCATAGATGAAGTTGCGGCTTAAAATATTGAAGGCTATTAAAATTCTAATAGAATTAAACCAATACCATATGTTAAAGTAACATTCGTCTGGCAAATATTGTCACAGAATAATCTGTGAGTTTCTTGAGATTCCGGGCTAATTGGCCTATCAAATAAGGTCTTCTAGCCCCAACATGGCCGCAGAACGCGAACTGGTGGCAAGGGATCCTAAGATCTGGCAGTGGAGGTGTAATCGCAGGGGTGGAGGAAGCTGGAGAGGTCAGGGAAACAGCGCCTTGATGCAGTGAGAAGCAGGGATGGAGTCCAGTTGAGGAGGCAGGAGGTCCTGGAAGCCTAGAACTTGAGGGCTCTAGACTTCAAGATGGGGCAGCTTGAGGCTCTCGCCTCGTGCTTGTCTTGGAGGCCCTTGGCACAACAGTTGGCACACTTGGAAGTGGTTGGCAATGGATGGGCAGGCGCGGCCTTCATGGCCGTCTTCACCGCAGTGGAAGCACTTAGGAGCTTTCGTGCACTGGGCAGAGTTGTGGCCGAAGCCACAACAGCGGAAGCAGACTCGGGCGCGGATGGACTCCTCGAAGTTTAGGATTACTCCATCCACCACGATCCTTCCGCGAATGCCCAGGGCTCTGAAGGTCTTGATGTCCACCTCGATGAAGGCAGTGCAGGTCCCGTTTCTGGGTGCAGAACGGTGCGCCACGCGCACCACCTTGTCCCCAGTAAGTTGTTTGACTGCAGGGGTTTCCAGGAGCGTCTCCTCAATGGTGGAGTTGGATGTCTCCTGATCCACTTTGAAGAAACAGATGCGAGGCAGGATCTCCTTCTGTTAGCGGACCTTCATACCATCCAGCTTTTTGGCCAGGGAGGTGGTAACAGCTGGGATGGTATCGAGGTTGCTGGAGTGGAGGACAAGCTTCCCCTTGGTTCGAAGGGAATCCCAGACGCCTTGGGGGAGAGTGTAGGCAGCGCGGAGAACTTTTAGCATCTCCCTGGGGTCGGCCTGCGGGTTATCAGAAATAACCCCTGTGTGGGCCGCCGATTTCTCTCCGTGGAGGGTCATTCGGGCGGCCGCCGGCTTGGAAGCGCGGGAGGGCACAGGTTTGGCAGTACCTTGCAAGTTTGTCCTCTTTGTGGGTGGGTTGGGAGCCTTCAGGCTGCTTCCTCTTTGTAGGAGCAGGCAGCGTGGGGGCAGGCTTTTTAGTTGGGAGAGCAGCAGGGGTGGCGGGCTTGATTGGGTCAGTCTGGCAGCAGGAGTCCTTGCAGGAAGGAGCTGGGCTGGTTTGGGTGCTGTGACAGGCAGTCGTAGGCTTGTTTTCCTCCATGAAGTCGTACAGCTCCGCGAAGGCATTGAGCGCGCCAGAAAGGTTCTCCACTTCAGCGCAAAGAGTCCTGATCAGATCAGTCCTCCCCGCGATGAACTTGATCATGTCTTAGTGCAGGGACTTGAGGGCGGGACGGCCAACGGCGCGCAGGATTTGGAGGTTGCGGGAGATCACCATTTCGTCCTCCTTATCCAGGGCGGCGATGTCCACGATGGGTTTCTGGGCATTCTTCTTCTTCTTCTTAGCAGGATTCATGGCAAAAGCAGGAAAGCAGTGACCAGGTAGAGAGCTAGCTGTCAACTCGGAAAAAGCCGGAATAATCTGTGATAACATACTCAGCTTATCATCCTTAGTCACGTGACATCAGCATTTTTTGTAAATTATTTTGTTTAGATATCTCAGTTCTTTTCCTCGGTAGTATAGTGGCTGGTATTCCCGCCTGTCACGCGGGCGACCGGGGTTCGAATCCCCGCCAGGGAGTTTTTTCCCTAGTCTCCCCAGTCTGGTCATAGTGCTTTACATTTATTCCGCTTTACGCGGCCATTGGGGCTCAAAAATAATTTTATTTTGATTAGCAGCCCCGTAAATAAATATATTTCCGTTCCTCTCTGTTTTTTTAAGATTGAAAATAATTGTAAATAGTTTCCTTATTAAAATAAATTTGTTTTATGATTACTCTATGTTCTGGTCTCACTTATAATGTTATGTTGATGTAGAACAATCGAATATTGACATGAAGCCAACCACCCAGGACAATGCAACAATATTCATTCGGGAATAAGCCGGGAAAAGCTAGGTAATTAAGTATCATTATACAAAAATTATCTCATCATTTTATAATTCCTAAATATGATAAATGATTTGTTTATCATATAATTTTAATATTTTTGATTAGCTTATATGTTGATCTATATATTCAGCTATCAACATGAAATATTTTCATTGGTTTATTCAGTAGTTTTGTGTGTCAAATTATCTGACAAACAACATAAGCAGTTTTAGTCTTCTCAGTTATGCGGAAAGAATATTGTTTATTTGTTGAGTGAACTGATCTCCTTCTCATTGGACGAATGTGGCCATGTTTGTACATAAAAGGGGGTTGAAACGGGATGCGAGGAGTCGTGATCGAGTGGAGACGCTTATAGCTTTCTCTGTGTGCTTGTCTGGTGATCTCCTCGCATACCTGTGAAATCCCGGTACGCTCCTTA